TTACCAGTCTCAATTCTCGGCCTTTCTGGTTTTCTGTTTTTTCCGAGGGTCTCCAGTTCAGCATCTTCTTGAGTATTCTTTGGTTGTTATCTATTCGTTGTAAGTGGCCATAGTAGTTTAGCGGCTGTTCTAATATATATTCTACGACGTTACCATTTTTATTATTGCTCGAAAAGTTTTGGTTAGTTTTGGTCTATCCTTGCCTTTTGCGTCTATGGGCAATTTCAGTACTTTCTAGAGATTGTTTATAGGTGCCGTATCATCTGATTAGACTTGAGACTTAACTGAGTGTTGCAAATTGCAATTGTATAAAAAAAAAGATGAAATTGCAAGTGTAAGTGTTCTCGACGTAGGTGCCGTTTTTGTTGATCAAAATGACAAATTCATATCTATGTTGGGCTTGATGGATTAAGGTGTTACCATCTGTGTTTGTCGAGTCTTGTATGTTTCTCAACCACGATTTCTTTATTCTTGCTATGCCCCGTTTTCCTTCAATCTTCTCTCGCAGTATTAGTTGTAGCTGTTCATATTATATGTGTCACATTATATGACCGAGATAAGTTGTTTTTCTGATGTTTGTTGTGTTTGTTCGAACGCATCCCTTTTGGTTCCAGTACCTGTTGCGTATCATAATTATATCGTGACTATCCAACCCGATCTCTTGCATAATTTCTATTAGTTTTTGATGTTGTATGCGATCAATGGCTTTCTTATAATTCACAAAACAGACATAGATTTCCCGTCTCACCGTCTCACTTCCAAATATCTTTCGGCCATTAAGGCTAGACAAAGGGTGGTCTCCCTTGTTCTCCTGCAAATCTTCGGAAACCGTATTGAGATTGTCGCATTTGGATCGGATTCGCTTGAAAATGATTCTCATCCGTATCTTTGCTGTGTGGCTCATCAGGAAGATTGTTCTGTGATCCTCGCACTGCCTTGCTTTGTGCTTTTTAGGCAATATGTCCGCTTTCGTAAATTGCACCGAGAATGTTAGTCAGTCTATTTATAGCACCGTTGCTAATGGTGATTTATTGCTTTTAATTTCTGAGATTTAATCGGGCTACTTGTGACGTGAGAATTGTAAGGTTGTTTCTCTTTTCGACGGTTGGCTTATCGTCTCCGAACAGTTCTATCAAGTACTGCCCCCAGATTAATTTTTGTCTAACATGTTGGATGTTCCTAAAATTAATCCATATATTTTCAATGTCTTCTCTGTCCATCAGCATACTTCCATTCAGTTTTCTATGAACTTCCTTCAGGTATTGTGTTTTTTGGTTGTCTTTCGCTTTGTTTCAATCCTTTTAAGCCTTACTCTTATCGTCAGACCTACCGGGCTGTGGTCCGAATTTATGTCACATGCGGGATATACCTTGGCATTGAGAACACTATTTCGGAATTAGGTGTTAATCGCAACGAAGTCGATTTCGTTTCTTACAAGATTGCTATCTCGATCTTGGGGCAGATTTCTAAGTGTCTTTTCGGGAGTTTAAACTAAGTATTGCTATGGCTAGTATATTTTTTTGGCAAAATGGGACACATCTACTGCTTCTGTGATTTCTGTCGCCCAGGCCTTAAGGACCTACAACACCTTCTACTGTTAAACGCGGACCTTGGCGTTCAGGTCTGGCATCAGTCTTTATACATTTCTTCGCTAGCTGAATGTTGGAATAAAACCATTCCACAAAACCATTCCAATTCATCAGCTGTGGGGGCATATAGTTGGATTATTGTTTTTATTTTTCTCCCTGTGATTCTTAGCACCCCCTGATCACTTAAGGTCATGCAGCGACTAGGGGCTGTGGTCTGTGTTTCGCCTGCCATAATAATTTACTTGGTAATTTAATGCGAAGGTTTCCCACTTGCCTTTCGCATCCAATGCCGTTGACCCTGTTAAAGGTTCATCTGCCTCTAGACAATAGGGTACCCATTTTCCAGCCCCTCCTAGCATGGGGATCCGACGCTGTTGGCCATATTCAGCTATCTTCACTTAGTTTAGCCCGCAGGTGTATGCGGTTACCAGGGTGTGGCACTTGGAACCATAAGTGAAGATTGGTGCCCTGAGTATATCGTTGGGTGCGACCGTCCTTGAAAAAACTACTACTCCTCCGCGCGATCCCCATACCCAAGTGTAACCGTAATAAAACTAAAATAGGAATGTTAAAATTCTTTGCTCTATGTTAAACTGTTTAATATTTATAGACGCTTAAAGTAGAAAAAATGTATCCAAAATAAAACCTTTCAAATGTCAATACCTCAAAAACAACTAAGAAAGAACCAATAGGACCATAAACAAATCGTATCGGAAATATTTAAGGTGTTGCATAAGGAACAACCGTTTTTGGAATAACTATTTTGAGACCTCGTTTACCGGGTGATATCAATTTTGGATGATAGAATAGAATCTCCAAAAAAATTAAATTAATTATTTTTGCAAGGTTTGGCATAAATTTGATATCTTCAAAACGGAAATAATTTTTATTCTATGTTGTTCTTAATTTTTCCACTGGAAACATTTTTTTTATATTTCCAAACAATGAATGAACTAATATCCATTGTGTTTTAGGGAAAAGTAGATTTTTGGGATAGTTTTTTCTTTTACCATATATTATTTTCTAGAATCATTTTTGCGTTATATTCAGGGCCTTTAAATGTGAGTAAGTTACTTCACCCCTTCACCATAATTCATCGCGAGTATGAACATATACCCCCAAAAACAAAAAACAATTGAATTGAAATCTGGACTCCCAATCCAACAATAAAGAAATTGATTATTTAGGTAGTCTGCAATATGTCTTTCAAAGTGCACCGGAGCGCCATCTTGCATACCAAAAATGGAGCTACGGCTTAACTATTCCGCACCAAACGTTTATTTTAAATTCCTGTTGGAAATGGCGTTTAGTTGAATAATATGGGTTTTGCACATCCCACGCATGCTTATTTCTAAATTTATATAGATACCCCTGCGTGTTATTGCTCCATCTATCAACATTATTGAGTAGGCGTTTTACCAGACCCGACAAAAACGGTCAAATTCCAATTAAAGTGATATGGAGAAAGCCTTTCTTGGTGAAAAACTCTACAAACAATAGATTTACTCACTGCCCTTCGTCAGGTGCTTATTTCGGGATTTTCAGTTACTTGGACTAGAATCATTTTTGGTCGCCCCACAAAATCCCTCTTGGGGCGGAACGAACTTGGAAACATATCTAAATAATAATACATAATAATACTAATAATAATACATTTAAAAATAAATAAATCAATTGCAGAAAAGGAGATAAAAGCAACGAAAAATTGTTCACAGTTCAACTCCTAAAAAATGATACATAACAACTACTTCTAACTATTAATTCGCTTGAGTAACATACACTTATAGCAAAATACAATGGTATATAGTATAAACGAAATAGACTAGAAAATCTCGAAACTAAACTCATTGTGGTAATTGTCCCAATTTCCTTTTAAAAAGTAATCTTAAAAATTATAAATATTGTAGGACAAGCTTCTTTGAAAGAGAGGACATGTGGAGAGATACGACCCTTAAATCTAAGTGGACCGTAATTAAGATTAATGCTATGGAAAAATACCAAGGAGTGTAGTCTACCCCTGTTCTACACATTCAACCGTTTGGCATCCTGTAGTTTTTGCGAGACTGACTTATATTTCCTTATACTCTTATTACCTTACCTTATTACCTCATGTTTCCCTGTACTCTCTCAATTCTATTTGTGTCGATTTTATCTAAGCATGGACCATATAAAGCGTCACAATAGTTAACACAAAAAATACCCAAGATTATTGACAAAATTTGTAAACGATCCCTTTTCTTTCCAAAGAGCATAGCAGATGAGTTGGTTAGATTAATTATCAATCCGTGACGTGCTGAGAATTCAGTTCTTTTAAATCTTTACTAATTAATTGTTACGCTGTATACCAAGTACTAATACAGTACCTGAGTATCAGCAGCATAAAAGTATGTCATGACATTTTTCATACACTAGACAAAATTGCTGAAACAGTTTTAGTCAAGCTCTGAAGAAGCCAACGGGATGATTGGCGAAGCGTTAGCAAGTTCGACTCTACAATAACCGACTCAGGATGAATCCAGAAGTTTTGTAAAAACTATTATATTAGCCTGTAGAAATTTCTTTTAAAGTAGTATTTTATCATGTCTGTTTTCATCAGACCCCACTTTGCACTTTGAACTATTTTGCATGTTCACATGAAACTGTTCAATTAGTTGCAACGAAAATTTCAAATGGCGACTCGGGGAGAAATTTAAAGGGTACACTTTTTTGTGTAAAAAAAGGTGTAAGACGTGATATCTTTATTAAAAATCTGCATGCACCAGGGCGCAAAAAAAATGGGAAGTATCAAATGCCCTAAAAGTACCATACGTAGAGCCCTCTACAATTTGCAAAAAAAATTCACGAAAATGGATTTCCTCATGTCAAAAAACGCCGATTTGCAAAATTTTCTGCAAAAACCTGTATTATTTCAGGAATAATTAAAAAAATGAAAACTAAAATTGCAACTTTGACACCCATTCTATAATTTTACTTCGCCTACCGACATTGTCATTATTTTAAATTAGGGTAAAATTTTATTTAAGAAGTGCGACTGCATAGATAACCGGGTTCTTATTCCTCTCCGTCTTGAAAAGACAGAACATAGGACAGGCACACGCGCTATATTCCTGCGACGGGGCGAGATATAACGGACGGCGAGAGCGGCGGCAGGAAACCCCCTGCGAGCCGGGAAAAAACGACCGCGCGGCTCTCCCTCTCCCGGCTCCCGTTTCGATTTTTTATTTTGATATTTTTAATTGCGGGTGCTGTACACCCAACTCTGCGCATTTTCATTCCGCGCTGCGCGGGCGGAGGGGTGGGGAGGCGCCCCCTCCGCCGTCAGTTTTCTTCCTGCTGCACACGCACTATTTTTTAGTTACACCGGGTCGCAGATGTCTCATATAGCCATAATAGCGATGTCCTCGTGAAATAAGGCTGTCTCGCTCTCTGACGTTCGCGCTCGCATTTTTTTTTTCGCGATCGCAGTAGTCCGCGACCGAATTTTTAATCCGATTCGTCCAGTCGGTGGATCTACGAGAGTGCCGCCGCGGTGCGTGTGTGTGATTGGAAAAATATGGATTTGGCCCGCAGAAACGGATGAGTTCGGTCCGATTCTGAGGTAAATGGCGGCAGAAACTATTTTTCGGTGCGTCGAATTCGGAGCTCTCGCGTTGCGTCACGCGCGTCACGCGTAAACAAACCACCGAGCGATTTTTTTTTACGGAAAAATTCGTTTGCCGCTATCCCTATATCGACTTGTTCCAATTCCCGTTCGTGTTAGTCACACACGACGTTACGTGCACTTATTTTTATCATTACTTCGTTTTGATTATGCTTTTGTTGACCAAATTATAGCTCATCTTTGTTTCTCGTTTTCTCCACTCTCTTTTAATTTTAGATTGTAAAATCTTGCCACCGACACACTCAAGTTAGCGTCAGAAAAATTTAAACTCCGAATATTCATGAAGTTCGAATTGCCTTAAATGCAGTTTAAACCATTTTTTTTATTATTTTTAATATTTTTTGAAATATTTATTAATCTCCAACATTGAGAAATAATATTTTTGTACGTAGAGCAACATTTCATAATGTCGATGTGTTTGGTGCTATTGTGTAATGTGAAATTTAAAAAGATTTAAGACTATAAAAAGAGTCTCTTGTTCATTTCCTATGATTTTGTTCCTAATTTGTTGAGGCTATAAGTTTCATATCCCTTTTTTCATGTGTAAAAAAAGCGATCCTAGATTGAACTCGTAAGCATAACGATATTGAGTCCACTATTCCTTAGTAACATTTTGACATAAGTGAAATGCCGGGTGTTAAGGTTTACTTCTCGAAATTGTTATTTCTTTACAGATTAGGCTCTTTTTGAGTGGCAGATATGAAAACTTGGATTCGGGGAGTTTTCAGTTACGAAAAATATAATTACGGTCATATACATGAATGTCCTTTTTTTAGCCTTAGAAATATTTTTTTTTTCGGAAAAGTATAATTTCCATTTTTCAGGCTTTGGGATTGTCGAAATTCTTCTTTTTTATTAGTTTTGGTGGTGAAATGGTGCATTTCCGCATGAAAATTGTTATTTTTCTATGTCTGTAAAGGCTTCTAAATAGTAAAAATGCTTTGCTTATGATTTCGGCTAGAAAAAAAATCCCCATTTCTTCCTAGTACTGTTTTTTTTTTCGAGATATTTGAATTGTAGTACACTAACCTCCAGAAAAACCGACCACTAAAAGCTAGTTCCAATTTCCAAGTTGTATATGTAAACCCGGTCTGGACCACACATCACCAAATTGAGACTTCAAATAAAACTGTACTTAGTATCAACCAGAGAATATTATATACACCTTATAACTGAATTGTCATTTTCTTAAACAAATTTATCTCTGAATTAGATTGCCAATCTGTTTCTGTTTCGTTTTTGTCGTTCACAATTTTTTTCGAGGCAACTGTATTAAACACAAATAACAAAATATTGCTTGCTTTTATTATTATTTTATTTTAATTAACCTTTTATCATCCAAATTACTGCTGTTCCGGTCGAAACGTTTCAACTATACCTGCGTGTTTATTTATTTCTTCTTAGTTTCTTTCTTTATTTCTTCTAATCGATATTTTTTTTATTAAATAAAAATAGAAAACTATTCTCATTTGTCTTCACAAAGTTAACAGTTGCCACTTCGAGTTCCATATTCCAATTTTTTTTGCAATAGTTTTTTTAAGGAACATTCAGATGGATCTAACGTCGTCACTTAAACTGTCGAAACGTTGCCACGCTAGGTGGATAGGATTGTTAATTTTAAGCTATGTTGGTTTTATTCCAGGCGAGGTTTCGAGTTAGATATAAAGTGGCTATGTGCCGTGAGGTGCTATTTCGATTTTCGATCGAAAATTTAAAATTGATTTTCATAAATTATTTGTATATATATATATATATATATATATATATATATATATATATATATATATATATATATATATATATATATATATATATATATATATATATATATATATATATATATATATATATATATATATATATATATATATATATATATATATATATATATATATAATTTTCAAAAATTGATTTTACATGATTTGATTTTCACTTGATGAAATTTCATTTTTATTGAAAATGATTCATTTATATTAATTTTCTATGTCTAGTTTCTGTCAAAGTTTTGAAAAAAAAAACGTTTTATGTGTAGGTAAGAGCATAAAAAGGTTTAAAAAATAACAAAGTTTTTTTACAAATGTCTAAATTAAGAATTAAAGTAAACTTGCATTTTGAAATTGTGCTAACGAAAAAAGTTCGGATAACAGCCTCGTGTTTCGCGGTAAGTTATAAAACACTATTTAACAGTAAAAGTGTAAAGGAATCAATTTTCGAAACTAAGAAAATATTTTAAGAAAAATAATGACTATAAAAAAGTTCTTGCAAAAGCCCAGGAAAATCTGAAAACGGATACAAAAAAAAAACAAAATCACTGCCTGATAAAATAACTTACAACGGTCGTACGGGCAATTTCTCAAAAATTGCTCACTTTTGTCAGATCCTCTTAACATTATTTTTAATGTCTAGCTCAAGGGCCGTTTCCAGAAAACTGGAAAGTGGTCCAGATAGTCCCTATTTTAAAGTCTGGTGACTTTACAGATGCCTCTAATAATCGTCCTATCTGCCTCTTATGTCACTTTGAGAAGGTTTTTGTGGCTGCAATTTATTCATAGCTGTGTTTTCAAGTAAAAAATGACAGACCCGAATCATCATGATGATCAAACTTGGTTCCATTTATCCATGACATCACATGACACACCGAGGCTTTTAATACGGCTTATCCAACAATCCAACAATCTTTTTGTGCAAATGTGCACCTCGGGTGTAACCCACAAGTTTGTTTTCGATGTTGGGCTTTGTTTTCACGATTCGATTCATGCTTCTTTAGCTGATGATTTAAAAGAAAGGGAAAAGGGTTCTATAGATATTAACATCTGAATTTTTCTTGATTCTAAATAAAACTTTGATCTGGGCTCCATTTTGAGAAATACCAAAGGGTTCACCAACCATCAACCAGCGTCATTTTAATACGTGAGGGATATCACCGCACAGATTTGGAAGAGATCGGATGTTTTCGGGGATATTACAGCACAGCTTAAATTTTGACGTTTGTTTTGCAAAAATGTACCCAAAAATTAACAGTCGTAGAAAAAGTATAATATGCAACACGTTTGGTAAAGTTTTTACGTCACTCGTTTATTAAACACTCGCTCCGCTCGTGCCAAATAAACTCGTGCACTTGTTGCATAATATTTTACTCGAACTCGAACGAAGAAGACTTAAAATTTTATAACTTGAGATCGCTTGAAACCCGAGGAAACTGTTTTTTTGTTGCTTTTCTTTTTAAACTAGTAAATTATTATGTCGGTTCTTCTTTTTGTAACAATTATTTGAGTTTCAACGCTAATCCGTATCAAGTGCGCACGAGATTGACATTTTCTATTGCGCGGTATTGGTCGAATTACTTCTCTCTCCATAATGTGTTTTTCAAAACGGTGTAGCTTCAGATATATTTATATTTATATTCATTATAATTTATTTAAATCCGAGTTTAAATGTATGCCTCTTTTTTCATTGTAGAGATAAGAAATTTATTGCGCCCGATTTTGTTGAATTAATGTGCCATTGTGTAATTGGGTGATTTGGGGTTACAGCTTAAACTTTCAAAATGAAATTTTGAAATTTTAAGCTGTAAAAAAGACCACTTTACTCTTAAGTAAATTTCATACTGTTGTACTTTTTCATAGCCTGTAAAAAAACAAACGATAGGTATTACGAGTCTTATTTTTAAAGCAAGCAATGACATTTTAAAAGAATTACTTTTTTCCAAATCTTAGAAAACTTATAAAAATATAACAACTGTTATAAAAGCCCTGGTCTATTATGAACGCGTTATAAATATGCGTTACCTTATAATAAAACCTTAAGCTGGGAAAAATGCTCCAGATTCGCCCGGTGTCGCCACTAAAAAGGGTGTCAAAACACGAGCGTCCCTGACGGATTGCCGCCGCCGCCTCATTTCTGTTCATTTCCCTTTCTACGACAGAATGCGCGCGTTTTCCACGAGTTCCGCGTTTTCTTGGCACCTCGGTGGTGGGGATACGCTCGTCGGTCGTCGTCGCGGTCCAATCAAATTTTTTTATAATGAGAGTTTTTAATGATCGGGTGGAGGGAGAGGAGGGGGGCGGAACTCGGTAGTGAAAGGGAATTTTTTAGTTTGGCCCGGTAGTTTTCTGCGATGGGGTTTCGCGAAATTCGGCAGATCCGAAGTTTCTTTTCCTGGTGATTTTCGTGTTTTTTGCTTTTATTCATCGCGTTTCGCTAGGAGGGGTACGTGTTTTTCTTCGACGCTTGTATTCGTGAATAAATTGCATTTTTTTAATTTATCTATTTATTTAAACTTCATCGATGTCTGCATGTAATCACAGAGTTTCTCGGTAAACAACATAGGTAGAATTTTGCGGTGTTCCGTATTACGGTAATTTGTTTCGTTCCCGAGAGATAGGGTGAAATAGAAATTTTGCGATATTTGGGATGCTAACATATTTCGGACAACCTGTAAGATAGAAAAAAGGTAAAAACTGCTATTGTACCCAAGAAATTTTTATAGACAAACCGTTTTCGAAGAGTACCCCAAACATAGTAGTATTTTTTTTATTTTGGTTGCAAAAAGTTCGCCTTTTATGATGGATCGGTAAACTTCAAAGTTGTGGCAAAGTTTGATAAATATAAAAATTTGCACTAGTAATAGCAATTTCCGACGATACTTTTTCAAATATCTCGCGCACCCTGTACAATAGACGAAAACTGAAAATCTTTCTCGGCACAGTTTACGATACCTTTTAAAAGTTATTATTCCACCATTTATAAATTTTTAGTGTACGGCTAATATTTTACCCACGAACCCCAAGCTCCTTTTGAATTTTTTGCAGACACACCCTGTACCCTTCCACGTTTTCTGGTCCATGAATTTATCGAATGGGGTAAATGGTTTAACAGAAAATAACTTTTTTCTCAAACAATGCAACGCACCTTTCCGTCGTAATAGTAAATTACGT